CTGACTCCCTCCGGGCATCCCAGAGGAGCTCTCGCCAGAAAGCAGGGACCCCAGTTCCCGAGCAGCCCCCGGTACGGGCTGGAGCCCAGCTCGGTGCCAGAGCCCGGAGCAGCCGCGGCACAGCATCGCGTACCTCCAGCCCCAGAAGCGCTTAGACACCACGCTACCTCAGGGTACCTAATCCTGCTTCCCCACCCTCCCCCAAACACGCGAATTGTCCCCATGCCTGCTTTCTGCTAAATAAGTGTTTTCGTGACAGCCCTTGTCCCCACCCTGGGAGAAGATGTAGTACGTAAAGGACTTTTTTTTGCACTTCCATAGACAAGAGATAGTTTTCCATACGGCTCCTGCTCTCAGTTCCCCGGAAAAAAAGAAGGTAAAAAAAAGAAAAAAAAAAAAAAAAAGGAAATAAAAGAAAAGAAGGACTTATTGGGGGAAAAAAAGCCCCAAACACCTGAATGGTCAAAAACTTGCAGATTTATTTGAATACTTTGGGTTTAGTTTGATTGCTTTTGTTGGAATTTTTAGTGAAAACCCTGATGGAAACCGGGGATTTTAAGCAGAGCGAAGACTTTATGTCAACACACTTTGGTTAAAAAGGAGATTTGGCGCTGTGTGTATTTACCTGCAGGTGAAGGCGACAGCCAAACAACTCCCGATGGATCGGGAGCTTTAAAACCAGACCCACAGCTACACCCTAAAGAAAACTGAAGATAAATCTTGGGCGGTAGATCCTTTCTGCCTGCAGCCCTGGCCTTGACCAGGGCCCTGCACAAGGAAGGTCTTTCTTTACCAGTCTCAAAATAATTCAGTTTTCGGAGTTTTCAGCGCTTCCTTATTCTAACATCAAATATTCCAGCCGTGGTCTGATACTTTGTATTACAGGTAACCTAAATAATACGCAGAAGGACAAAGATTTAATGGATATCTGGTCTGAGAGTGGAAAGCGGGTGAACACCTCTGCCGGTCCGACAGCATTTTAGGGACTATTCAGTGCTTTCAGCCGTTATGAGTAATTCAAGTGGGGATCCAACCTGGACACTCCCCCTAATATTAAGTATAAATATGAAATATAGACCTCCCCCAGGAGCGGCAGCGGGCTCTCTCCTCCGGCCTCCCCCGGGGTCAAGGCCAGCGGGGCTGAGGGCAGGCACCCGCGCCGCTCCCCGGCGCCCGCTCCAGCCCTGCCCGACCCCCAGCGCTGCCCGGTCCTGCCGGTACCCATCCAAGGCCAAAAAAATCCCCACGGATTTCCCAGGTGCCCGCCCCAGGGACTCCGGCTCTCAGCCAACGCCGCAGACAGGCTTAGCATCACTTCATGAACTCCCATATCTCCGGCGAACCTTTAAAGTGGGGCTTCTCCTTCCCGGGGGTATTATTTTTAATGCAATACTTAACGCCGATCAAACGCACCTCTGCTGCGTCTAGTTAATAATCCCCAGGGAATGCGGTTCTGGGACCCGGGGCAGCTGATAAGTGCCGATATGAGGGTGTACGGACATGTTGCTCGGCATATTTTTTGCTGTGAGTATTTTTTGCTGTGAGGCCCTGGGGGGATGCCGGAGAGCACCCGCCTGGCCGCCGCGGATTGCCGGCAGGATTTGCAGGATTTTTGATTCATCTTTTTCAATGCGCTGGGTTATTCCTCCCTCTCCAGTGGGCTCATCTCTGCAGGGATAACTCCTGGCTCTACCTGTAGCAAGGGTCAGAGCCATGACCTAAATTAAGGTAGCTGTCACCGCCGGCTGTTAATGTCACGAGTAGTGCCCCTATTATACGGGGGGGGGAAGAAGGAAAAGGTGGGAAAAAAGCAGGAAGGCAGCAGGCACGCCCGAGTGCCCACCCAGGCAGCTGGTGAGAGGCGGGGGCTGAGGCAGCAGCCTGGGCAGCCCAGGGCCTTCCCGGGGAGCCCCTCCCGGCCGCTGCAGCGGGGCCCAGGGGTCGATCCCGGAGGCAAAACTCCGCCGGAGCGACGGGGCTGGGGGGAACCTGCCGGGGCCCCGGCCGCGGACAGAAGGGCTGGAGGAGCGGGAAGGGGACGGAGGGGCTCCCGGGGAGCTGATCTCTCTCTGGCACAGAGCAAGGAGCCCCCAGGTCCCTCCCCAGCCAGGGACAAGCCCGTTCCCCCCGGTCTGTGCCACTGCCCAGCGTTCACAGCTGGAGCTGCTGGGGCTGGGCTGATTTTCCCCCTCGGGTCACCCTTTAAATGGTTAACACAGGATTCCTGAGTCCATTTCGGTGTTGCCTTTTCTTTCTCCTCCTCTCCCCTCCCAGCAGAGCTGCCAGCATCTCCCCACGCGGGCCGGGGTCTGGGGAACAAAGGCCGGGGACCCGGGGGACAGCCCCTCGCCCCTGCGAGCTGCTCTCGCTGCTCTTGGTGAGGATTCATTTCTGAGCCCTGGCTTTCTCTGTGGAGCCCGTCTCCCTCTGCCCATGGTCATTAGGCTGCAGCCCAGCAACTCCCTCCCCAGATCATGTGCGTGCTTTTTTTTTAAAAAAAAAAAAAAAAAAAAAAAAGAAGAAAGACCTACAGGAATATTAGTAGTCACCACCATCATCATCATCTGCCCGGTCTAAATTAGCTGCCCATTCCCCCAGGCTTTCCACCCCTCCGCCTCTCCCAAAGCAGAGGATTTTCCCCACCGGCCGCTGTCCCGGGACGCTCTCGGGGGCTGCGGCGGGGCAGCCCCGGACGTCGCCGCCTTCTCACCCGCTCCCCAGGGAAGCCCGCTGCTCACACCCAGGAGGCTGGGGTATTCTTTTTTTTTTTTTTTTTAAATCCGAAAAGGTCATTTGGGATCTTTCATTGAGCTGCCCAAATGACTGGTTTTTCCTGGCGGAGAGGACAGGGACGGGGTGGAAGGGGACCCTCCCTCAGCAATATTTATAATGTTTGATTTTTTTCTTCCCCCTTATTTTCCCTAAGCGTCTCGGCAAATCAAACCTGGGTCCGTAAAGCAAAGCCGAAGAGTCTCTCCTTTTATTTTTTAAGTTTCTGTGGAGTGTCTCTGAACTCGTGAGTTTTGTGTGTGCTTTTATGTCTCCCCAGCTCTGTCGGGTTTTATGAAAATGAGCAGTATTGAAAGCTTTTCCATCCCGCTAGCTGTGAGCCTCACATAAATGATGTAAATGGCTCGAAGGGTTTTTTTCAAGTGAACTGTGTAGATCTGTGAAAATAATATCAGGGTTTTCCGTCAGAATGAGCTTAGCACTGTACTGAGGCGTACCATAATCTGACCCGACACCTCCGACCATCTGCGCTATCTATCTGCCTTCTGATTTACCAAATCTTCACAAGCAAAAGACAAATTGTACTTGATACTAAAGAAAAGACGGCGAGCCCCAGCCCGGCTCCATTTCTGCGGAGAAATGATTGGAGAAAATGTAAATCTCTTTAATTTCGGTCTACGGGCAACTAGCAAAGGAGGTTTCTTAAAGAAGGGAAGACGGGAAAACAAAAAACAATAAGAAAAAAAAACAAAGAAGAAAAGAGAAGGAGGAAAGAGACAATAACAAGATATCAAATTAAGAAGGCATTTCTTTGACAAGCGTTCTAGAAAAAAAAAAAAAAAAAAAAAGCATTGCAAAGAGCAGAGGAGAGAACATCTTGCGTTTAATTCAAAATATATGCTGCCTTTCCGAGCATGGTCCCTAATGTTCCCGGGAAGAAATTGCCACTGAGCAGCTATATGTAAAATAAACAGCAGCTTCTTGATTTTTTTTTTTTCTTTTTTTCCCTTCTCTCCAGAAAACCAACCGTGTCCTCCCAGCTCCGACAGGGATTTCATTCCTGCCCCGGGACGGCTCTCCTCGCCCCCATTCCCGCGGTCCCTCGCTCGGGGAGAGGAAAAATCCCGCCGGGAACGATGACTAGGGGGTGATCAATATTTCAAAAGATTCCTGAAATCTGCTTTAAGTCGCTGTCCTGACCTACAAATGACTTCTCACTCCCCGCGACTCTTCTCGGCGTCTATTCAGGGCCATTCAGCGGAAAACAATAAGGTTTTCAATGTTAGGGGAAAAAAATAAATTATAAAGCTTTAGTTGAACGGAGAAGGGCGCTGGGCTCTTTGCAGAGAATTCCTCGTCTTAACAGAGCTGGGAAGTGACCCAGAGGGGGAAGGGGGGGAGTTTTTCCCTAAATCCTGGCTCTGCTTGCGGTCCTCCCGCTGCATCCATCGTCGCTGCCGCTCCCGGCATCGCCGCCGCCGTGAGGCAGCCGGTTTTCCGCTGTTT